ACGCATGTTACACCATCTAAATGACCTAGCACTTGCATCAATCGCTCTTGAAGAATGTCACTAGACAGCTTCAAGCCAAACGGTAAACACAGCCAACGATATCTCCCGAATGGTGTTATAAAAGCAGAAAGGAAACTGGATTCATCATCTAGAATCACGTTCCAGAATGCCGAAGAGAAGTCTACCTTCGTGAAACATTTAGCTTTGGCCAAACGCGGCAAAATGCCTTCTAAGATAGGTAGCGCGTAATGCTCTATACGCAAGGCTTCATTCAACGGTTTTGGATCAATACACACAAGCAGTTCCTCCATCTTCTTCGTAATGATTGCGACTTGACTAATTCAGTCGGTTGGCTCGTCGACTTTGGCAACCACACCCTCTCACTAGTTTTCTCAATTCAGCGTAGAACCTGTCAAACAGTGCAAATGGAACTCTCCTAGCTGGTAGTGCTGTCGGTCGTATTGAAGAATTTAAGGACAAGTGAGCGGTTGCCTCAAAATTTCCAAAACCTGAGCTAAACACAGACGGATACTGGTCACTAATGTCGGTTTCTCCTTGACAAACATGCACAAAATGATCATGAGTAAAAATAACAAAACCGAGGGACTGAATCGAATCAATACCGAGAACCGGTGTGGGCTCCTCCTCCACGATCAAACTCCAGTCGATGTGAGGCTCCATCTCTTTAGTTAACGACTTCGATTGTAGCCGAGCCCTTCGGATGAAGTTTGGAATAATTTCACATACGCAGGTAATCTTGAACGGATCAAATGCACACTCCGAGACAGTGCTTCCTTGGTAGAATGTTGACAGTAGCATCTGTGTCTAACCGGAATCGTACGGTTTTGCCTTCGATCAAAAGACTTGCGTAGACACATTTTTGCGGTCCCCTCAGAGACACGTTGCCAATTGAATGTTCTGCATCTGCGGGGGACTTTTCAAGAACGACCGCACTCACATTGGTTCAGTGGCAGCAACGAGCAAAGTGGTTCCTTCTCTCACATCCGGCGCATTTCCGTCGCCACGCCGGCCACTGTTCGCGGGTGCTCGGATGTCGCGTGGCGCAAAATTTGCAGATTTAGTCTCACGGTAGTAGTATTCACTGCTTCGCCTCCAGAAATGGCATACAACTCTGCATCTGCTGCGAGCTTCATTTGTTGGTATTGATGAGTGGTTGAGGGCTCAATTTTGCAGATATCAATGCACTGCTGGAGCGATAAGTTGTGTTATCGCAAAAGTCGCTTTGTCGTACTTTCATCATTGATTCCTAGAACCATCCGATAGCGTATGAGACTGTGGCCCAAACATTTACAGAAATTACAGAATCGGGCCAAAATCTTCAATTCAGTGATGTACACGTCGACTGATTCGATTGGGCCTCTGTTGCGCGAAAAGAAAAAACAGCGCTGGTAGGTCCCGTTGGTTTGACCTTAACAAAATTCACTGAGCTTTCTAATGACCAAATTATTTGGATCTTCGCTTTTGTCGTAGTGCAAGGTCTCTGGAACACGGCTCACGTCATCCCCGGTTGCGTGTCGAAACATGGCCAAGCGATACGCCATCAGTTGTTCGTCCAAACGTACTAAGGTGCAGAAATCCTCCCACTTACTCTTCTATAGACGTCAATTACTCGCCAAGTTCCGTTCATCTATATGCCGTGGGGCAAGCATCTGAATAGACGCTGGTGATCCAAAGAGCATCCGCGTACCGCCGGTGGGGTTCGTCTTTATCTTCTCTGACACTATGTTGCAGAACGCAGTCCTTCAGGGACAAACGTTTATTCGGCAAAGACAGCTAAGCGAAAATTACAGCATGTTTAACAAGCCAAACTCCTCGATATAAATTGCAGCTTCAAGTCCATAACTAACGACCCTTCTGAGTCGATGAGATTCCTCCTTTGCTGCAGTTAAATAAACGGTGAATTACTCACACGAAAATCGTCCAATCCGAGTCCAGTAATCGAATCCGTCACGTCCGCCTCCCATTGGCTGTTTGGCTAGCTCGGTTGGTCCATTTGCTCACTCTGATCTGATACTACCATCACACCACCTACGATGGAGCAACATAGACTTTTATCTTCTCGCTCTCTATTTTCAGTATTCATATTCTGTTATGTGCGGAGTTATTTGTTGGACTGGGGTTGACGACAACGCGATGCAGTGAAAACAGCAAATATAGGCTTTTTCACCTATCCAGTTGTTTGTGACATCACCGTGTTAGAAAACCGTAGGCGCGTTGGTCTTAAATGCTCAGTGTGTTTGGTGGCTACACCATAACCTGCCGTCTGAGAAGCTAACACTACTAGGGCCACGTAATATAAGCCATGGCTGTGTGACATTGATGCACTATCACAGAGTACTGATATACTGCTGTCACTGGCGACGAGTGGGATGAACCCCAATTAGCCAAGTGCAGATACTTTGAGGATGACTGTTGTAGTGAAATTGGAGGATAGGAGCAGGAAAACTCCGGTTGTTGATTTATGGAGAATACCAAATCTTGAATATAAACCAATTGTGAGGATGATCAAGAGAATTAATTGACAAAGCCGAAGCCTTTCTAAACATTGAAGCATGCGGTTGATTAAACGTGTGGCAAGCTTCCGATATAAAAAGTAATCAGAACTGATAAATCTGTGTGGTAAGAAATGGTAGCTACTATCCGCAACCTCCAAATGTCATGACGTGCTTTAACACGTGGATATCAAATGAGGCAGGCAGACGCCGTCAGAGAATGAAGTTTGATGATGTGTTGGTGAGTGACCGTCTAATCAAGGCACATCGGGATATCAGCTAGAATGTATATTGACGTCACTACCGCAGGCAGCTTAGTACGAGATGGGTGATAAGGTGCGGACCTTCACAGCATGCAGCGGACGACAAACGGGGTACTAGATAAGGGGATGTTAGGACAGTGCGTAATCCCAAGTCACGGCATCCGTCGGAGTCAATGCACTGAACTAGCCTTAATATGCAAGCTCGGTATTTTTAAGAGTGGGAAAGGATCTATAAGGTAGTAACGTCCACTTCTGCATGGGTTTTGGCCCCTAATGGCAGACAGGAAGAATATTGTGTTTCGAAATAAAGGGTTAACTGCGCTATCAGTCTTCACAACAAATTCGCTCAATGGAATGAGACAAGGCTTTGTGAGAAGTTCAACGCCAACCGTCTAACGTGATAAGTCGAAAGCAGAGGTGGATATGAGACGCAGCAAAGTCGGTAGGGGGTGGTGCGTACATCGGGTAAAAACATGCTTTACTGACAAGGAGGACAGAGGAACCGAGTAAACGCTTTCGCTCAAACAAAGTTTGTCATGCTCCTGTGCACCTTGGTGGCAAACAACGACTTCATGAGTAGTTGCATCGGTTTTCACAGATAGAAGTAAAACACCAGTGCTTAATCGGATCCACGGAAGGAGGTGTGTGGCAATATTTTATTACATTGTTGGTTTAAACGAGTAAGAGAAGCATGAAGGGCCCAAACACTCGATTACCTCGCCTCGTTTTGGAGTCAGTAGTCGTGAGGAAAATGCCAAAGCATGAGCGCAATATGCTGAGATGATTTACCCATCAGCGAAAATAACATATCATCGTGGGTTGAATCAACAGGTCTGCAAGGCGCGCGTTAGCTGTGGGTAACTGAACTATCAGATCATAGAAAGTTCCCCAAAATCTCGGTTTTGAGAATGGTGTTGAGCAGTCATGTGAGTGAGGATGCTGGGTTGTGCGTACGCTGTATACGTTTCGTTCCCAGTTTATGCAACATGACCAGTGTTATTCAAGCCGCTTATGAAACGCATGAAACAAATCGCACCGCCCAGAAAGCCAACCAACAATCTCGCTCCAATCTTGAGTTACGAGAATACTCAATAGTTGCAGAGCATTGCTTGTGTTATGCAACGTGTAAAAGTTTCGTACCAGTGAAAAAAGTCGGTAAAGGAATTTCTTACTTCGGAAATGGATAAATGGAGGAGGGATCAGCCTGGAATGGTGGATAAACTGTTTGATAGATAGTGATTTCTGACTGCTGGCTTGTAACCAAAATCCCCTCATAATTCAGTACCTGGTGCAGTGCCATTGGGACAGTGTTTGGGTCCACCGGAGCAGGCCCGTTAGTCTCAAAGATTACTATTTTGACTGCACCCACTACGAATCACTGGGCAGGCGTGACAGTCATCAAAAAAATTATCAGCACTACGCCGGCAAACTGTATCCGAGGCTTCGCTGCTACGCGACTACCACCAGTCGCGCATGGGCTGTGTATACCGCGAAGGACGCCCGCCACTACGCGGATTAGAACCGGTGACCAAAGGATTGCAAACCAGGCGTGCAATCCTTTCGGTCACCGGCCGATGGGAAGTGATAGGATTCCGTTCATATGAGACACGGGGATGACTTTGTGTCTCATAGTACGTTACTTTTCTAACAGAAACATAGCCATTCCAGTGGTTCTGAATTTCTAATCCCAAACCTTGAACTGAAAGTAGTTGTTAGGAAACATTTGAGGTGATGGTGGGATCGAATGATTTGCATTTTGTTGGCTAAAAAAAGCGTCCAGGCTAAGTATCGAACATGGCGTTTCTAAGAATAATGCTACACTTGACGATGTTACCATGGATGATCTGAAACGGCGCGGAACAGGCAGTGAACCAAAAGATTTCACAAGTACGAGAAGGCAGTATAATTTTAGAAGATAAGTGAATTCGATCACCTAGAGGAGATAAGTCGCAAACGAAGTTACATGATACGAATAAATTGCTGACCGAAGTTGGGCAAGAAAATAAAATATATTCAACCTTGAACCGAAAGCAAGTGTAGCGCAAAGTAATGTTCATCGGAACACGGACTACAGGTTACCAGAGACTAGGGTCTAACCGACATGTGAAGTAGTAACAGCGATAATAGCAAAAAACTAGAATACCTGAAACGGCAAGTGGTACGCGCCCTCCGGTTGTCGGTAGAAAACAATTTAAGAGATATAAACAGTGTAACGGCTACTTACCAGCGGTTCCTGCAAGGGCTGTTGTGATTCGTGAAACGAAGGTTGGTTGGTATGGAATTCCAACGGCGCTTTTTTCGCCGGTCGTTTAGTGGGTGGTTTGCGATTACGCCGCAATCTAGCCGGTGCGGGAGATGGAGTGGGGGCAAAAAGGCTGGCTGGTGTGGATGGAGGTCGACTGCTAACTAGGACCTCATCATCCGGCCAATTAAATTCTTCCTGAAGCTGATTTGTCACATCCTTTGATTTAATCTGGTTATCAGCTGAGGAGTTCCATGAAGCAGGAATGATGTCATCACACTGCGAGCTCTCGATCAGCGTCTCCAAGATGGGGTGGGCAGCTGGGACCACCACATTTTGGACATGGGCGTTCTGTGGATCCTGGGAGTCGACTATTTCGATTAGAAGATCCGGATCACTGCTGTTTGAAAACAGTATCCAATATAGGAGGAAACAATTGAGCCGAAAGTTGCGGTAACTTTTGGCATGTTTAAACGTGAATAACTGAATCTTAGATATTTCTGTCGGAAAACATTTGGTTAGGACATCAGGGGGTGGATGGGCTTAGTGTCAGCACACACGAAAACGATCGGTGCAACCAGGGTGAAAAATGTGCGCAGCACGAAGCAGGGTTATCCTCGAATTATGGGATGCAGAAGTTATAGTTCGGATCGTCAGGAAATACAAGGCGGTAGGCATACCCCATGAATGGCAGGTGCAAAAGTTGGGACGTACGCTTTGGGTAAAGAAAACAGGTATCAGGAGTAAGACTGCATTTTTCCTGCGCAAGCATTGCACGCGAGTGGGGATACTACCTGGGAACCAAAACCTATGTGGGAGCTGGAACCCGAAGTTGGGGCACAGAGGTTGCAAGCCAGACACCGGAACCGGACAGTGTTAGACCCTTACCCATACACCAACCTTGATGGTGTCAATGCTAACCATAAAACAGATGGTCAAGCTACCATGCCAATTGTGAAGACAGACGAGTGGAAGCAGCAACACGCCGTCTTCGCCAAAGCACATAATCAAAAAGCAACGGCAGACTAAATGTATGCCATTACATAGGTGGAGTGAAGACCAAGGAAAAATTGAGTGACTACCTACCTGTCACGCGATGGAGTTGGTGGTATCATAGCATCTGCCAGTGCAGCAGCAATAGGTGGTGGAGCACGTTTGTTCAAGCGACCTCGAGCTGCTCTTGGTTCTGGAACAGATACAGAGCAAAACACTTATTAAGTGAACGAGTCATAAGAGCATGTGAGCGAACTAAAGTATTTGGACACAACGCGGAGCAATCGGCAAAGAGGCCCGCTATGAATAAAGTTATTATTAATATGAACAAGAGCAAGTGACATATGGTTCTAGACGGAAACGGAGTGGTGTTTGCCGAACCGCACAAAAAGCAAATACCATCAACTGAACAAACACGGTGATGGATCAAATCTTCACCGGATTTTCTAAGCACATAATTTATGATTGTTTTATTGTTACTTATGACGTGAGCATATTCGTGATATACCGACGATTCCGCTTTGATCGGCAAGGGACAGCGAATGCGTTAGAAGCCATTGACTTTCATCTTGTTCATAGCAGTGTTCGCAAGAAGTAAAAGAAAAGAAGAATCTTTCCTCGGCATGTGTTCGACAATTTAAAATAAAAAACGACTCTCGGGCTGTTGTTCCCATCACCAACGGGAGATTCACATGAAAAGGTGATGGTAGACAGCAAAATATGAGGAAAAATCCGTTGCGAATTGATTCGATGTTGACATTCCCTAAAGTGAAAAAAACTAGGTGGAACCTACTTGAAATCCTTAATGCCTCCTGACCACCTCCCGTTGTTCTCTTCTTTGAATCAGGCCTTTTAGTAATTTTTATCATTCGAGCGGCCTCGAAACGTTCATTTTCTCTGGCTATTCGCTCAGATCGGTAGGACTTGAAGAAGCGACGCTTTGGCAGAGAGAAACCAGGCTTCGGTATATCAATGTTAGCATTCCGCTCAAACGAGGAGGTTCTGTCCCTGGACGTTGGAAACGCCGCTAACTCTTCTGTGTCCACTGAGGGAAGTGGAGGAATACCTATCGGTGTCGGCGATGTTTCAGTTAAAGCTTGCTTTCGTAGGTCTAAAACCGTTTCCTCTGTAATTGGTTCATCGGCAGCTTCAGTGATAGAAGTACGAATAACATGGAAAGTGGAGGTACGGGGCTGACTTCTCTCAATCACCTTTCCCTTGTGAGCACCGGATTCAACCGCGGATTCCTCCCGAAAACCTGGATCAAGGTGTGATCAGTGAGCAACTATGTGGACCATGACGTGAGGTATGAATGAAAAAAACACGAAAAAAAGAATTTTTAAGCACTGCTGTTTTAGAGAGCTGTTGCGAGTGTGAGACTGCATTGCATTTGACACACTATATTACAGAAGAGAGGAGAGCAGAGACAATGTGACGAGAGTTATCGATGTAGCATACGTTAACAAAGAGTCAAGCTGAAGGGCCTGACGTTCCCGACCAAACAAACAGCTCAGCCTAAACCGCAATATTGTGCATACACCAATTCTTGGCCGTGATATGTGGTGCTGAAGAAAGCGATCGATAACAACACAATATGGCGTCTTGATGGTGGGCTTTGAGAAGATGAAACGATCGCTATGCGCCTGGAAATCATGCGTAAGCGCACGCGTAGCATAGTTAAGCACACAGCATAAAAGCGTAGTGTTGTCATCCTATTTTCATTGACAAAATCAAGTACAATCTACGGATTTAAGGTAAAACGGACTCACCAGTACTGGATTTGCGATTGAGAGGTCGCTTGGCAGCAGATGTGTTAGGTCTCGCACGCTTAGGAAAGTGAACTTCGGCGGACAATTCCGGTAACGCGAAGACTGTGGGAAAATAAGTTAGTGTTTTACAGAAACTATTAATTGTTCCATGTAAGAGAGAATAGCTCAGTTAACATAACATCCAGTCTAGGATTGTACACTTTGGAAAGTAAAATCAGTCAGTAACAACGAATACTGGTGAGAATAAGCGCAAACAAACGGTGAAATGCGGTGCTATCGTAGTGCGTAACAAAGGTAGGTGAATCACTCAGTGGAGTAATTGGTATAGGATTAGACTCATTATAAGGAATGTTCGCGATTCACCAATTTAGTAAATGGATAAGCGAAAATGGACCAACATTGAGCTGTTAGCAAATAAATAAATAAATAAACGATTTATTCTCGACGGTGCGAGACAGGCTTTCAAAGGCATGAACATGGTGATACAAGCGTGTAACATCAGTAATGGTACAGAAATGTTGCGATTTAACCAGCACATAATGGATATATGTGTGTATGTATGTGCAGTACTTATGTGGGTGCATGTGTAAGTAATCGTGTTGTGTGAAGTTGCTAGTATTCCTGTAAATTTGTGAGTATGTTCGGTGAATGCACCAATATAGGAAGGGATCAGATGAAATCATTGAAGTGGTTGACGTTCGCGAAACGTGTAGGATTCTCCGGTGTGACAAGGGAGTGACTTTATTTAGTGGCGAGTCATATTAACCACGTCACAGTGTTGTTAAGCAGACATTTGTGGCTTTTTATAGGGAGAACTTTTGCCAAGCGAAAGTCCATCACGTCATGGAACACTGCCGCCGAACTATTAGCTGAACCGGGATTAACCCGAACCACCCAGATGGCACCACATGAAGGTTGTTCGGTCAGAAAGCTGAATGGTAGAATGTTACCACGGCTCGGTTCAGTTCAGTTCAGATAAACAGCTATGACACGCCAAAACGGAGTGGCTTTAGTTATCACAAATCGCGTCGCCATACTTTTAATGCTTAACAATAATGGGGAGAATTGAGGTGAAACGTAAAGTGGAACACAACGAAAACTTGACTACGAAGTGGGGGTGATGAAACGGGTCGAGTTGGAATTTTGACAGCTAGGTGCAAGAGGCCGAGTGTAAAAGCACCGTTGGTTTCGCGACCGTGTCATACCAGGCAACATCCGAACCATTGGTATGACCGATTCCAGGCTTCACCCATAACATCGACATGCACCAGTTTAATCAAAACTCGGAGTCAATCTTGCCAGACCATTTTGTCAACTAACGTATAACTACTCCATGGACTCAGCAAACTAGCTGAAGTAATGCTAGACAATACATGCCGAAACTGGTAGTCAATGAGGTTATGAAGGACATGATATGGCTAGTCCCCTACTCATGGTGTAGACAACGATCGAAATATTAGTGCGCGAACTGAATATGAACCGTTGCTATAACAGTGTTTTCCGCTTGCCTTTCAGAGCCGCGCGCATGTACTGTGACTGAAGAGGAGCAAGAAAGAGAAGACTGTTAACCGTAACGTTCTTTACATTTTCTTTATCGTTATATTTGTTCCCCCTTTACAGTGGCTACGTGTTGCGCAATACAAGTTCCTGTTCCGCTCTTGGATTTCTTCTAGTATGCATGCTACAATGTGTTGTCAAAAATACACGCCCCAATAGCTGCTAAATGTCATATCGTGCATAGCTGCTGCTGTGGCAGGCCGTGACTCCATGAGACAACCCTGTCCTCTATAACTTGCATTTAAGTGTAGAATGAGTACTGCTTAGCTTGTATTAAGGCAGCCCGCAAACAGCAGTCTTCGGCATTCCGATATCCGGCCGGAGCAATTTGGCGCGGCGCAACCTGAAGCTAATTGGCTAGCCAATGAAGCAGTTCACTTCGAAGTCTACCGATAAGAATGATCTATCTTGGAGCTCATCAGTGAGTGCGCTGTTCTGGCAGCCAAAAATTGCGTATTCAGATATCCAGGAACTTAGCTAGGTCACTCTCTCATGGACTAATTATTTTGTCCCCATCTTGGGCTGTATATACTGTTTGTTAGGGACTTAATAAAAGTTTCACCAAAGGCGTTTGTCTTCTGACCTGGGAGGTCGGTCGGCCCAGATGGGGCAATAGCAACAGGTTATTCGTACAGTCAGGGGAAATACAACAATTTGCAAGTTCTGATGGTCCGTCGCCCGCATCCGTGGCCTAATGCCATAAGCTGATGGTTAGTGGTGCACGCTGTTAGTGTCAAGTAACGGTGGGTTCGATTCATGACGGAGTTCAACGGCTGCGCACCACAGATGGTTAGATCTGCATGCTTACCTTATCTGTCAATCTCATCCGTTGACCCAAAGAAGTTAAAAGCAGGCCGCATGAACGGTGGAGAGATGACATATGCATATGTGGGCCATTTGGAGTCTTCGGGATTTGTATTAGTCACATCTTTCAGATCGGCGGAGATAGGACATGTGCTGAAAACACACCCGTTCAGGTGCATAAAACCAAACGGAACCTAGTTCGTTGCTTGCACTAGAGTGCCGCCAGAACCTTTGGTCCGGACACGCTTGATGCAGAGAAAGATCGCATCTTCAGAATGTTGCAAGGGAACGGATACCCCATTCCGTTTATCAAAAACGCTACGATCCGGTTGGAAACCAAGAGGAATGTACCAAAAAAGACGTATTTCTCTCAGTTCCATTTAAAGGGGATACCGCTTTTGACTTACTGAAGGGAAGACTCACAAACGCAGTGGCCAAAATATGCCCAGTCGCCTACGTGCGTGTGCTCATGCAGACTGCTCCATTTGTAACACAACATCTGAAGGACAGAAACCCGGTCCAGTCCAAATCATACGTTTTGTATCAAGTTACTTACAGCAATGGTGCAAGATATATTGGACACACGAGCAGGTTTTAGTCAAAACAGCTAGAAGAACACTGCCCTGGTTCGCTACGAAGAGGCTTACCTAGAAGTATCAATAGCGCTCTCATGGAGCATTTACTCGTGAGTGGACATGAAATCCGGATAGCAGACGCGTCCAGCGTTTTCTACTTCGTGCCGTTGCGTCACACTAAAGCGCTCAGAAAGCGTCTCGTAAAGACGGCTGAGGTGATCGCTATTATGTTGATCCAGCCTGCTTTGTGCAAGCAGAAAGCCCTAGTGCAAGACCTCTTGTTACCTTGGCTCCGCAGCTGTGCCTTGATATTCGACACCAGCAGCGTAACGTCGGCTGGGTAACCTACCTCTGGTGCATCGGCCTAATTATCTAGCTAATTTACCGGTCTCGTTCAAACGGCAGCAGTCCTCAAGCTAGCTTTCACAAGCATACTGCGTTGCTTGTTTCTTCCACATAGTTGTAATAGCCTGATAAGAAGGAGATGAAAAGAGTTCACCGCTAATTACACTTTCATGCAAACATGGGCATAATTCATGAGATAAAACCAATTTGAGTCCACCTCATTGGTGCAGAAACGATAGCCTACGGTTCAAGAGAGTTATTACTCAAACAGCGTGTGCCACAACAGAAATGAAACTCACTGCTGGGTTTGTCAGGAGTGAATGGAAAGTCGGCGTTAGCGGGAGAGGTGTCAATCAAGTAGGAAGTAGAAAAGTCACATAATTTGCGTGTGGTTTTTGTGCTGGCTTCGGAATAGTGGACTCCGGGTAGCAGAGTGGAGTTCATCGCTTTCAGAATACCCAAAGCGATGGGAGTCGCATCTGATGAGGAAGAAAGCTGAGTGGCATCGACAGGTGGAGTGGAAGCAGGTGCTTCTCCAACCGACACAAGTACTTCTTTCGTCGGTGGAACAAAAGCTTCCATGTCCTTGTGTTCTCCTGCCCCCTGTTGGAGATGAAGTAAGATAGAAAAGGTCTGAAGACGTGCCCACGATTAAATGAATGGTGTTTGAGAGCGGCCAAAGTGTCATGAAGAAAGATGCAAAAATGTACTACAGTTTCTGGTATGTAGTTATCACAGGAGCACGGACACCAAACGAAAGTTTCGAGTCAGTGGAAGCTACTTCTCAACATGATCGGATGATGACAATGGGAAGTAACTGGAGTGAGGCATGGCGTTGGCACGAATATCTAGAAATATAATTCCAGTAAAGTAGTTAAATCACATGATTTATTAGTGAGACCCACTTGAGTGCATAGTTACTTTGGTCGTGGATAGATAAGGCGTGAATATCAAGTGATGGTGGTGAGAGAAAATAAAACGATACCGTAGAATACACTGGGCACGCTCGGGCAGGATTTCATTTTGAGAAAAATCGAAAATAAACAACACTGGTTAGGAGTGGTAACCTTGTACTAGCGAGAATTATCGATCATGTAAGATGTGGTGGTAAGGATGTTGCAGCCCGGGCATTTCATTATGCCGAGTCAAGTACTTTTTAGGACGAGGTGTTTGACATCTATTGGATGTAGTTTGATTGGGAAGTAGCTAGAGATTCACAAAGACAACATGACCAATCCCGAGAAGACAAAAGGAATACCCGTGTTTTCCGAAGGCTTGGTGACTTCATCAGGATGCGATGAGTTTCGTTTAGATTATTTCAGTTGAAAATAGAAAATTTTATAAGAGATGATATGCAAGTATGCAGTTTTCTTCAGTTGTTGACGGGTATTAAAGGAAAGCGGTCATACATGGATTGGGGGACATTGTCAAAGTAGACCAAGTGGACTTTCTTCCAACAATATGGTAATGAGTTGCTCATTACCCTTAAGTTGCCAAGGCGACGGAGTCTATCCCAATGAAGCAAGTAACCTAAACTAACATTGTGATATCCGCGGCTGGAATTACATAATGACACTCGCTACGTAGCTGCCGGGCACCAGTAGCGATTACTCACTAGCAGCCGTACAAGTGAGAAGCCGTGGTGACTATGGATTCCAGCTAATACGACCGCTGGCGTGTGCGAGAACTGGCACGGTGGTCCAGACACTATTTTTAGTGGTTTCACAACGTCGATATCACAATGGCGGCCATTTTATGAAAATACAATAATAATAATAATAATAATAATAATGTGCCAGTTGTAAGCTGTAACGGCGCTTTGGTGCCATGTGACTACTACCAGTCGCACGCGCGCTGATTATCCCGTCAGGACGTCCACCCCTACGCGGATTTAAACCCACGCCGCAAGGTTATAAGTTATAATAATAAGTTACGTGTCGACATGGACGTATTTTATGTCCAAACAGGACTGTTCTTAGTACACAAATTCAGCTGCACTCCAATAAGCCGTTATTCAAGCTCCGACGTAATATCGCTTCGTCGTCCCAATGTTGCATCAAAAAATTGAGGCTGTTTATCATCCTGTAGCTTTCCTCAACAAACAGTGATGCGATGTGATAGGCAAAATATCGGAGTCTAGGTTATCTAACGGTAGTTTGTCATACTTTTTGTGAATTTCACCATATTACAACCATATTCTACTAGTTCTGCTTTTTTACCATCTTTTGAGCCAACGTAAAAGATGAGAATCTACCGGAAGTGAAAAGTGACTTTTGTGACCTCATACATTGGGTAGTTGGAGAAAATGATCTACACCCTTGTATGCTTCCACGCCACCTGAAACTGATTGCAATGTGGTCCATTTGAGACAAAGCCTGCGACGGTGAAGGAGGATGCCATGTGGTAGAACGTCTCCACGAGTGCCTGAAGTTTGTGCTTGTGAGAAATAGGCTGTTGTCTTCTCACAAATTGGAAAGCCTGGTTCCGTTATATGAACGACTCGTTCAGTGCATGATGACCACCCAGGTGATATTCACCTGGTAACAGTTGACCGACACGTGCGTTGAAGTCTCCGACGAGGACAATGACGTCCGACTTGGAGGCTTTGCGTAATAACTGATGAAGCCGGTGGAAAAATTGTCCTCGATTCAGACCACGCACTGATCTGCGCCAACATTTAAATGCGATTCGGAGGAAATCAGAAACGGAGGCTTTGTAAGCTTGATACGAACAGGCTAGCTTGTCAGTCGTCTCAGCTAGACTACCAACTATTACTGATAAGCACACTAGCCTGTGTCCCCCCATTGATATTGCACAACTGGAAGTTATTTCAGCAAGCAATGTTAACTTCATGTCGATCAATCTGTGGGTTATCATATAACCGCTTGAAGCGTTGGATATCAGCGAGCTCCATGGCACTGTTCGATTGCCGCCGAACTCTATCAGTAAACCCAGACCAGAATGAAGTCCGCCGTATTATCAACAGACAACTCAAACGAAGCCTTCGCAGCGATCGGGAATTTTGGTGGTCCCAAGGCGTCTTGGAGATGGAGGCCACCGCTCTCACTGGAAACCCTCGTAAACTGTTCCAGCTCATTTGGGCCATTGGACACAGGAGGTCCGGCATCAACGAGGTCAACTGTGACGTGGATGAGTCAGAAAGCACTAATTTGCAGAGACGCATGGACAGATGGGCTGAGCACTTCTAGTCACTGTAGTTGTTCCTCGCCACGCACTTTTACACTCAGTACACCCAATCGCATGCCATGATCAGTGCCACTCGAAGCACTAACCGAAGCGGACGTTTAGATTGAGATTCGTCACTTGAAGCTCTTCAAGACAGATGGCTCAGATGAACTACCCCCAGAGTTGGTGGTTCGGTGTTGCTCCACCCAACCCTGACACCCCATAACCGGTTTCGTCCTCCTTTGGACTCATCAGATGGAGATAGCCTGAGCTGGGGTGGACCTCGAGGCGTAGTGTTCAAAGGTTGACACCTTGACCACTATGGCTCCTAGGTCCGCGAGCAACGCTTGGCACAGCGGTAAAGATTTCCAGGTGGCATTTGGTGTACCCGCTGTGTGGTTGGATTGCGACTCGCAATCTCTATTCTGACCTCGGTCCACTTTGAAGTAGACGTCGGTCATTACGATCACAAGGACCGTAACCGTATTGGTGGTTCGGTGTTGCTCCTCCCAACCCTGACACCCCATAACCCACAGAGTTGTTCAAAGACGGCGGTACAGCAGTCGTCAAGCAGCTAACGTCCCTGTTTCTGAAGATTAGGCAGGAAGAAAATGTCCCCCTTCCTGAGGGAGTCAAACATGTTTCGATCTTTAAAAGAGGTTCTCACATTGTATGCCAATTATAGGGGCATTAGTCTGATATCCATTGCCACTTAGTTTCTAGCATCTATCAGCCTCCGCAGATTATCCCCCACTCGTGAGTCACATTACCGGGAGGAGCAGGCTGATTTTCACCCGGTCATCATCATCATCATACACGTTAGCTAGAGGTGGGAAACACCTCAGCTACTGTGCCGCAATACAGAGAAAAAAGGAGAAAAAATGCAACTGGTGCAAGCTGGCTGAGCTATCAGCAACGGATGGGCATCGTTCCGGTAAGCTACCATCCGGCTGCTGTGCACCAAAACAAAAAAAATTACTATGCAAAATTACATAAGGCTAAATAATGAGATGTGGTTGGAGGGGGAGGCTAAGAGGGATGGGGTGGGACAAAGAAACTCACAGCACGAACGCCACTAAGGTCGGCTCCTAGCCATATCAGCAAGTGTGTCCAACCAAACGTGTTCATCGTCTTTCGGACCCCAACCAGGGAGCCGAGACGCTCCAACTAAGGCCAGCTCAGAAGTGAGGATCTTCATTCCTCTCGACCAAGTCATCGCTTGGCCACCCCTCCTCTTCTTCCATCCACACCCCAGGCGCGCAAACAACACACGTCGCGGAAGTCGGTGGGCTGGCATGCGTAACACGTGGCCAAGCCATCGGAGCCTGATGCGTGAAATAACGGTGCTGAGCGGTTCAGTTCCTTTTCCTGTGCCATAAACAAGGCGTCGAACACGCTCATTGCTCACGCGGTGTTCCCACCATATGTGAGCTAAATTAGGAAGGCACCGGTGGTCGAACGTAACTTGCCTCTTCAGGTCCGCTGCTTTAAGCGGCCAGGTTTCACAACCGCATAGTAGGGTCGAACGTACTGCTGCATTGTACACTCTACCCTTCAAGGCAAGAGTGATGTCGCGCCGGCGCCATAGGTGGCGAAGGTTAGCAAAAAAAACGCCCCGAGCTTTTGCTATACGATTCGTGATTTCATCTTCAATCCCACGGGCGCTGATACAACTTCCCAGGTAGTTGAATTTTTGAACGACTTCTAGCTGAACCCCACCAACGGTCAGCGTAGGAGGCGGTCCAGGCCAATCTTGGAGAAACGCTTTGCACTTCGAGGGTGCGAAGCAAAGCCCGAAGTGACGGACAGCTAGTGCTAATCTGTCCAGTGCCGCTTGGCACGTTTGTGAGCTGTCACAGATCAGGGCAATATCATCAGCATACTCCAAGTCAAGAAGTCGTTCTCCTGGGAGCAGATCCACACCTTCTAAGTCGTGTCCTGTGAACGCGATTTCCATGACTTCGTCAACAGCGAAATTGGAGAGGAAAGGTGATAGCGGGCATCCTTGTCTCACGTCGCTGGAGATATTAAAGGGCGACGACAACTTACCCTAAGCCCTCACTCTGCCCGAACTACGTGCATATAATGCTCGGATAATATTCACATATTTCTCAGGTACACCCTTCCTGAGTAGACAGCCCCAAAGTGCATGTCTATCCACCGAATCGAATGCACCTTTGATATCGAGGATGAGTGGATCAAATTTCCACTCTTCGCCAACTCCTAGGGCATGGTCAGATCTTCCGCAGACCCACCACTTTCCTAAATATCAAGGCTGCGTTCAACGCGCTAGATCTACCTGCTTTATGGAACTGCCTGCTGAAGAATGGCGTTCCGGAAAAGTAGCCGCCATACTTAGCGCGCTATACCTCCCCACTTCAGATAGAGTGAGAGCCTATGGAACGCTTTCTCCAGTC